TCTCTTCTCGCTCTCATCCATACGCTCACACAAAGCGCGTACAATCGTCCACCATTTTGGCAGAATAGTGCCAGGCCTCCTCAATGAACTCCTTAAGGTCTGAATATTTCTTCATTAGACCATCTTTTCTTCTCTAACTCGTCTGCTATATCTCACAGTTTTATTCACACTTCTACACTGGCGAGGGTGCGACAGTGGGTGAGATTAGAGCCTCTGGAGTGTGAACAGAGCATGTCACTAAAAATCTCCAGAGAGCTGACCACAAACTCACACAGACACACACAACTTAACACCCCCGATCCTCCAGTCACATCCTTGTAGGGAAAAGGCATTAAAATTACAAGACTAGCCCACTGCCCACAATCTGTGCTCATGGGGTACCCTTTCAGCTACTTCAAATAGCCAAGCTTTTGTCCTCTTCGCCCTAGCTGCATTTGCTGCACAGACATAGACAGCCACACATTCACAGGTCATACATAACACCTTCTCTGTGTGCGTAAGCCACATATGCTGCCTCAAATCGTACCCTATCTCCAATTCCATTTCACGTCCGGTTTACTATTGATTTTACCGTGGCCCACTATTCAAAAGCTACACCCCCAGCATCAACACACACACACACAGACACAGCAAGTCTAATTTGTTCCTTTTCCCTGCTCCCAAGCTCATCTACTACTTTTTTTTTTTCCTATCTGATTTTCCTCATTGTTTTCTTTATTAGAGCTCAGTGTGCAGCCAACAAATCCAACAAACATTAAATGTAAATTTGGGGGTGGAGACGGCCTTATCCCCTCCCCTTGGTTGTTCTCTTTGGGATATTATATTGGTCTGTTTTTTGACAGCCTTGATTTTCTCTATTACATTATTTTTTGTTTTGTTTAAAGACGTTAAAATAAACATTTACGAATCAGGTCCTCATTATTTTTTTTATTCTTAGTTTTTTGTCTCATCCCAGAGCCAGGTTTTGGCAGAATGAGGGCTCGTCAGTTAGATTTTACTCAGTGATACTTTGTTGATTTGGTTAGTATTTTATTTTTTGTGTGATGTTTTCTTTTAGTTTTGATGTTTGTAATTTGAATTTTGGCGGTTTCTTTGGGCAGTATTTTGGCTTAATCTGTCCACTTTGGGTGTTTTTAGTGGGTCATTTAGGGATTGTTGTCTCACTTTCATGATGATCCTCTTCCCTTGCCTGTCCTCATAGGGTCATGGTTTTGGTCTGGCCAAATTAACCTTATTTTTGAGAGGCTTGATTTTTTCCACTGAAATTGTTTTTCCTCCAGGTGTTAAATGAAAAACTGATCAGGCCCTAATGTCCTTTTCCTTCCTTTTTTGTCCCAATCCTTCAGACTGTTAGGTTAAACAAAAAGAAAAATCTGACTTTTGCAGTTAGCCCAGTTGATACCTTTAGAACCAACGTATTTAGCATTTCAGGGAGGAGGTTTTTATGGGTATTTCCCTGCCAGCTTCCCCTGGTCTTCAATTTTTGCCAAATGTGAGATACATGAAATTCCTGTTGAAACAACAATCTAAGTTTGCCACCAATGCTTCATTTGAATCACATGTTAAAATTAATCTATTCATACATTTAAATGGGCCCCAAAATTAAAATTTTTATGTTTAATTTCCTTCTGTCTCCCCCTCTTTCTACTAAGGAGTCTTCAACTCCAGCGCATCAGTCTCTATTCACTACTCCCCTTATCGTTTCCATAGCTTAGCAAATGAACCTATAGACTCTAATCTCACTGAATTCTCACTGAACAGCTTCCCTGTCTCTACTAGAGAAAAGCGTTCCTGCAGCATGATGCTGCCATCAACATTTTTATAGTGGGAATGAGCTTTGTAGGAATAGTTCCCTCCACATGTTATATTATGAACTAAAAGAAACATTTTGGTATCATCTGACCAGGGAACTTTCTCTCTTTTTTTTTTTTGACAAACTTTGTTTTCACCTCAAGGCTAGATTTGTGAAGAGTAAAACCAATATTTATTCTGTGGATAGTTTCTTCTGCCTTTGCTCTGGGGGGATATCAGAGCTCTACCAGAGCTGCCATGGGGCTCCTGGCTGCTTCTCTGATTAATGTTCTCTTTGTAAAACTTGGGATACTGCTTTGTAACCAAGACTGCTTTTAGATGTCTCCTCAACATTCTCCCTGACAAATCTGTTGTGTGTCTGATGGTGCTGCCTGTTCAGTAATGTTCTCTAACCAATAAAACCTTCAAAAAGCAGCTGTGATTAAATCACAAACAGATGGACTCTAATTATTAATTAGGAGTCTTATAAGGCAGGATTACAGCAACAGGTTTCATTTAACAGTATCAGACTAAAAATACATAATTACAGGTACTTACCACACTTTTTAAATAAGTATAAATTTTTTTTTAATCAACAGTTATCTCCATTATCAAATACTTAATACGCAATCTATCATATAAAATCCCCAATAATATACATGTTGTGGTTAAAATAAGACAAAACAAGTCCATCAGGTATAGCTAGTTTGGCAATGGCCTGTGTGTGCATGTACCTGTGTGCCTTCTCTTACTGCACACCCTGCACTTACTAGGGTCATAAAGTATGCAGAGCAGAAGTGGACTGGTGCCAAAACAACCCATTGGGCTTTGAGGCCCTCATTTTCATGTTGGGAGCCTCTTTTAACTAGCAGAGAGACTCGTCGTTAATATTCAAAACTCACGCTGCGGCTTGGAAACAAAGCTCAGATTCAATCTAGATCGCATCTAAACAGCGGACAGATGTGCACACATGCACGGGGGGTGAAAACTGCACTACAGAATGAACTGTGCTGTGAGGGAGAGGGATAACATTCCACCTCACCTTTCCAAGGTCTTTGTGCTTTACCGTTCACATTATTCTTTTGCTCTACTCGCCCTGCAGAGAAACTGCAATGCTGTTTATTCGCCACGCTCCGACGCCCCGCGCCATTCCTTCAGACTCGCACCTTATTTCCTTTGCCTTCTTCCCTTTCGAGCAACCATCCTAAATACCTGATTTGTTCCATTCTTTGTCGCATTTGTCTAATTGTCTCCTGCTCCACATAGGTGGCAGCTATGATCAATATGCACAAGATTCCCTTAGTCTCTCTCTTACCAGCTGCAAAATCATTGCCTCTCTGTCTCAGTTGAAGGTGCAGTCAAAGGATGCTGCTGAGACAGTCAAGTCAATATACTGCCAGTCCAGAGAGAACAAACATCAATGTATTGTCACTAACCTGTCGCTACTCATCTCTAAGAGAACATTTTGGCACGGCAGATGGGTTGAGAAGATGTGTAATGCTATGAAGGGTTGGAGGGGTGGGGGGGTATGAGGAAAAATAGGAGGTGGGGCCTGCCATCCTTTAGGCTGCGCTGCCTGATTTACAAGCCTATTGGATTTTAGACTAACATGAATCACTACTCCACAGAGGTATTACTTCATGACAGAATGACAGAATAAACGAGACACATCACTTGGTGCATGTGCTTGTTTGTGGTAAAGAGAGACGGGCGAGTGGTGCTAAATGAAACTGGGTGGAAACTTAAACATCTTTGAGATTCTGCACGGCTATTTCTGATGCAACAATGAAGCTTAGTGAGAATTGGCTCAATGATTGTGGTGCTGCATATGCAATTCCTCTGACAAGAACCGACTCTTAGGAGGATAACCTATTGTGACAGCTTACTGGACGTTAACCATCTGCACTCACCGTTGATGCACATAATGAGAGGGAGCTGCACTCACTTCACACCAATATTTAAGTACCAAAAAGGCTTACAGGCAGCACATTTTTCTGCAAGTAAGGGGAAAATGAATAAATCTATCTGGTGAGATTCTGTATTGTACTTAAAGTGTTGAATGATGATTGATTTTTGATCCATTAGCCATTTGTTTTCCACTCCCTTATCATTTAATACTCAACACTCTTACATACAGTACCATGCTGAAATATTTGTACACCGAAATCTCAGTCGTTTTTTTTTCTTCAAATGGGTTCATTTTCCCTTTATTTGAGCAGATAAGTAAGACAATTCACCAGCAGATAGATAATATATTTTGTAGTAAAAAAAAAATGATTCCATTATCTTATTTTAGTGCAAAGTATCTAATTATCTAAGTTAAAAGAGACAGGTTCAAAGCATTTACTGAACTATGTCCTTAAAATAGCCTTTGTTTTTTACCCTTTATGACTAAAGCTTCGTTGGATGAGCAGACTGACACCTCAGTAGTTCAGGGCTGATGGATCTATAAGCCTGTATCCTATTTTCCTGCATTTACTTCAGGTTGGAAGTTCCCGTACTGTCTGGCAGATGTGAAATCAAACGCCTGCTAGTATCGGTCCGACCCTACAAACGATTAAAGCTTTACATAAAGATGTATTATTTCGATACTCAGAAGTGACAGGCATCCAGCTCATCTCAGACACTAATGACAACTCCAGGTAAGGGGGAAAAAGTAAAAAAAATAAATAATAACAATAGTCAAGCTCAGGCTACGAGAATGAGCAGAACAGTGCTGCAGTTTTGGCCACAGGTGGCGGTATCAAATGAAAACTACATAATGCTCATTTAAGGGCAGAAATTATCATTCCATTGGTAGATCATCTTTTATACCTGCTCAAATTAAAACCAAATACACTTATATCAAGATTTCTTTTCTAACCAATTTTAATTCAGTTAACTCAAATACTTTGATGTGTGTGGTTTCAACGGGGAATAGAGAAAAGTTCTGTAACTTTATAACTATAAAGGACACCTTTTTTCTATCTGGCAGATAGCAGGCAGGTTGAACTAAATGTATCTTATCTAAGGTAAATTTTAGATACCGGTAGGTATTTATTGCAAACATAACCTTCATCTATATAAAATAACAATGAAAAGAACCAGAAACAAGAGGTATGCATCCTTTGCAGAAAAAAACAGAACAAAAAAAATCACTCAGATCTTATGCAAGTTTGATTAGTACTGAAGAAAGAAAATTATGTCGCTGATATCTTAAGCAAAATTACCTTCTTGGCATTAGTCAGGTATGACCTAGCAGCATCCTGCAAAGCCTTCCACTCTTCTGTTTCATCCTCGGTGGCTTCTCTTCCTTCTGTTTCTTGCTGTTGTTTTGCTTTTTCCCACTGGAGGTAGCACACCCAGCCAGACAGATACCAAACCTAAGAGATATAAAGTGGGACAGGTGAGCTGAGGAGACATGGAGTGAAAAAAAAAAAAAAAAAAAAACTAGCTGACTTTCTCCCAGTTAAGAGTTCTGCAATGACAGAGTGATATTTCAGAACTGTCAATAAATGACAAGAATGGATGTAGCCCTTAATGGTATTTACACCTAATTCTGGTCATGCAATCTGAATGGGGCTGCTGAAACTGAGATACTTTGGGCCAGACAATGCTCTAAGAAATCTGTTAGAGACCGTTTATTGTTAGCCTTTTGGACTAGCAGTCTTGGTTTGCAGTTATCTAAAAGCAGTGGCGCCTGGCGTTGCCTTCTGCTGCTGCAGTGTTTTATGTGTGGTGCATTCAGAGATGGCATCAAACTTAATTAGGTCTCAACAAATGGATATTTAAGCTAGTGATCGGCAAGTATCATATCATTTATCAAGATTGGGGAAAAAAGGCATCACTGATGTTTTTTTGCAGACCCAGACAAAGCAAATTATGGTGCTTTGCTATCATGTAATAAGAAGATGTACCCAACTGAGTGGCTCAGTGCACTTGCACTGCATATACATATGTAAAAAGCTGCTGATTTGAGCACTTCTGGATTATTATTTAAATTACATTAAGTCAGAAAACAAATAGATGCTAAACTATCAGGTACATGCTTCAGTTTTATGTTTTTCTAAGACATAATAATTTAAATTATATTTCTCCCACCCGACCAACAATTTTAAAGCAAAAAGAAACGTGTTTACTGCAGCTCCATCTGACCAAACTATTAGTAGGAAAAGAGAAAAAGTGAGGGAAAAAAAAGCTATTAATCAAAAAAGTTCAAACAAAGGTGGAATATCTTAAATCTAAGTATCTGCTCTCAAGCACTCTGAAATCATCTGGTTCTTTTTTTTCCAATAATGACGCTTCATGCCTCTGGATAATCACATCGACTAAGCTGAGCTGAGCCTTCCACCTTTAAAAACAATCACGTCCAACTTTCTGCAAACTCGGAGGTGTGTGTGCGCCTCTCATCTAAGGCCAAAGATCACCCACCCACTGTTCTTCAAGCACCAAGAAACACATATTAGCTTTATTCATTATTCATTGAGGGTAGAAGCAGTGCGGGGACCCAGCACCTTCGACAAATCAACCATTTAGCTAACAAACACTTCGTGGCATGGCACGCTGAATTTAGAATTGTTGCCCAGCAGGCTGAGTAGGAGGCTACCCCCACCCCCTGCAGCTGGGCTTATCACAACAGCAGCAACACTACAGAAATAGGACTGTGGCCATTTTCCTCATTGTGGCATTTTCTTGGGATGCATATTGAAGAAAATGTGAACTAGAATAAAAACCATATGCATAATTCTGACATTTTTCTTTGAAAGTAAAAAGATGTAATTCTGTCTGATGGTCCACTAATGAATTACGCGCAGCAAAAAATTTAAAAAAAGCCCATAAACATCTACATTAAGAATTTTTTTTAATGAACCAATTAAGAGCTTAGAGGAATCAACTCCACTGAACAACAACTTTACACAAAAGCACAGAGAATATAGCAAATTCTGAGTGTGTCAATCAAATCTTAAGTTCTGTTATAATTTCAAAGGCGAGGCGCATCTTCACTCCCATATGGCACCAGTGAGGGAGGAACAAAAGCATCATGAATCAAGTGAATACCTTTGAAACAAGATTTTGCAAAGCAGCAGCTCTGTTGTTTGTGAAGACTTAATGCTATGCAAGTAGGGTTCCAAGCTTTGAGATGCACGAGCGCAAGCGTGCAGACGCAGAACCCAAGTGCACAGAGGAGGAAGGGACACCGGCAAGGAAGAGAGGAAGCCTGTGCGTTTAACTATGTCTCCGTTATTCATTGCATGTCATTTTTGCCAGGCGACTGTGAAACGAACAGAAAAAGAAAACTGACCACTTGGACTAGTTATTGTTTGTGTGGCATGCTGTAGGCCCGCTCAAATTGAGTGTCTCAGTAGTGAGTTTAAAAGTTCAGCCCCCTGATGGCTGCTCTCAATCTGTCTGTGGAGGGGTTTGTGTGGGAGGCTGAGCCTGAGGGGGGAGAGTGGGGGGAAAAAAGAAAAAGAGAGAGAGTGCTCTTCTGTGTAACACTAAGTGACAAACCCCGATTTTCTGTTACTGACAGGGGATTTTTAGAGCAGATTGGCACATTCTTCTGACTGAATCACTGAGAGTACAGCTATTTATGCCACCATGGAATAGGCTTAGTGCCAAGTCCAATGTATGAGCGCTTACAGTCTTGGTTAGAATTTGGCACACCTGAAATCTAGATCATCACTCACTGCATCTTTAAAAAAAAACTCAAATAAATGTTTAGGTTATCTGGAGTAAAGGAAGATGCTAAAAACAAAACCATGTGGCAAAAGGACAAAAAGGTATATACTAAACAAGGCATGCCCAAAGTCGGTGCTCAAGGGCCACTCGTCCAGCAGGTTTTATAGGTTTCCCTGCTTTAGCACAGCTGATTTTCATTGATTGCTGATTATCAAGCTTTAGCTGAACTGCAATCATCAGAATCAGCTGTGTTAAAGCTGGCAGATAGCAGGCAGGCTCTAAAACCTGCACAAAGTGTATGACATCCAAACCAGGTGTACCTCCGTAAAATGTTCCAAATTGTATTTATTGTTTTGGCACTAGTGATCTTTATAAGATAGTATGCTGACAGGAATACTGTTAAAAACTACATTTGTTAGTTTATGTAAGGAAATGAGGTCATTGATGTCAGTCAACCCATCATCTTTTAATCTACAATTTACACCAAGTCCTGCTACACTGTGCGGGGAACATCAGCGCCCTCCCAACATACATTATTTACGCGCCACTTGGCTCTGCTGCAGTGCAATGCCCACAGGAATGATTATGTGCAGATAGGCTGGTGAAGATTCTCAGTCATCCAGGTCGTAGTCATTCCAAAAAAGTTAAAAGATAATCCACTGGACTTTGTTTCCAAGTTTGAAGATGTTTTGCTTCCCATCCAGGAAGCTTTTTCAATTCAAAATGTCAGAAATAGTGTTGAGTTTGAGGCTCTATAGAGTGGACCAAAAAAAAAAACCTTGTTTTGGCTCAAAACACATTCAAATTGAAGATCAGATGAATGGATTCACGCCTTAGGAATGGGCAGTCATTTGGGCTCTTTGTTAACCTGCAATAGCCAATACCTGTCTAAGCCTCTGAAAGGGGGGTCGTTTGAGGGAATTGTTGGCCTGGATGAACAGGCAAGGTGTTCTGTTCCCCTGTGTGGGGATGGGGGTTGCAATGATAGCGGGAAGGAATCAACTCTATCGCTACATTGTAGGTTTTTGAAAGCTGAAATCTGAGTCCAACCCCTCTGTTAAAGGTTGGTTTTTCTTTCTTAACATTAGATGGCTTTCTTCATGCCCCTCTCAAACCACCTGTCCGCTATGTTTAAAAGGTGAACATTCTGGTCCTCAAAAGAATGTCATTTGTTCATTAGGTGTAGATGTACTGCCAAGTCTTGTCCCGATGAGGTCTCTCTTCTATGTTGGGCAATGAGTCAGTGGAGAAGTTGTTTGGTTTCTTCAATATAAAGATCAGAGATTTCCTCACTGCATTGAACTGCATACACTACTCAGCTCGTATTTGGTCTGGGGGTTTTGTCTTTAGGATGCACTAATCTCTGTTTAAGGGTCTTGTTTGGTTTGATATGTACTGGGATTTTGTGTTTGGAGATAATCCTCTTAAGTTTTTCAGAGACTCCAACAATATAGAGGATGGCAATGTTTTTGCGTTTTTCCGTTATGTTCTGCTGCATGTCTTTTTGGATTTCCTTGCTGATTTGACAAACGCCAAGTTTGGGTAAAAACAGGTTTGAAGAGAATCTTTAATGTGTTTCTGTTCTTTGTGCTTCCCTTCTATTTTAGTAGGGACATGCTCTGCCCCATGTTGTAACATTCTGATTACTGAAAGTTTGTGTTCCAGCGGTTGTTAAGTTCAAAAAGTTGATATTGGTCTGTGTAAGTGGATTTCCTATACACTTCAATGTTGAGGTTACCATCTCCTTCCATGCTCACCAAACAGTTTAGAAAAGGTAGCTTTTTGTCGTTGGTATCCTCTCTGGTGAATTAGATTTTCTGATCAACCGAGTTGATGTGTCTTATGAAAGCTTCCAATGCTTTCAGCTGGATTTTGGCAAATATGTCATCCACATATCTAAACCAGTGACTTGGTGGTGTTCCATTGAAAGTGTCCAAAGCTCTCTTTTCCATTTCTTCCATGTAAAGGTTGGCTACAATTGGTGACATGGGAGATCCCATGGCACAACCATGCTTCTGGCATTATCCACGAACTTGAAATAGGTTGTGGAAAGACAAAGGTCCAGTAGGGTGCAGATCTGGTCCAGAGTGAAATCAGTCCTGTTGTTTAGGTCACTGTCTTCTTGACTGTTTCCAATGCCTCTGATATAGGTATGCATGTGCCATGTGATATCCGTGTCACCAATAGTAGCCAATCTTTAAATGTTGTTCACATAAACAAACGGTTAAAACTTTTTTGCTTTTTGTCTTTGGTCCAGGTGGGTGAACTGAGCGCATAGAAGCTGTATTTGTGTATTATATATTTGGATTTGATGTTCAATCATTAGGTTTTGATTTCCTACGTCAATATATGCAGCCCAGTAACTGATATACATATATATATAAATATACATGTAAATACCGGACTCATTTGTTGCTGCAGTGGAGCATTAAGGCACAGTATTACATCAGGAGCGTTTTCAGAGCTGAGCCACCCAGCGAAGTTGGATTTAAATCATATGAGCATAACATCATCACACAACAGTAGTACAACAAACCAGCAAGGTATTTATTGATCTACTACTCCCAGCCTCTTGTGTGGCTGGTTTTATCTAATCACCTAATTTTTTTTTCTTTGAATCTATCATGGGATAGTGAATTTAAATATATATTTTTTTGTTATTTATTCACTCAATAGCCATATGTATTATAGATTTCGATTA